AGTCAGGAAAAGAAGCACCCGTAGTTCAGAGAATTCTTGAAACCCCAACAGGATAAATTCTGTTATCTTCGTGTGGTTTCTGAACATGATAGGTATGGGAACAGTTCCTGAAATAATGTGCAATATAGTTAAAGGAAAAAAATATATACATGTAAATCCACATAGAGGACGATGAAATTAAACTAAATGAATGCCCTAGGCAAAGCAAGATGCCTATAAGCAGATAATTTGACTTTGACTTTAAGTATTTTCTGATGAAAGAGACATAAGTTATTATTTAGTGTCAAGACCCAACACTTTGCATGTGCCTGTCTGTTTACAAACAAACACACATATTCATTCTTCTCCTTTGATTTCATTTTCAAACATGTGAGATAACTTTAATTAATTAATTACATTTATATCCTGCCACATTGAAAAATGACTTATGAATGAAGTCATTTTCGACTTGTTTGTAAGCACCCGAAAACATGTTTTTCATGGTGGACAACTTCAACATAATAATGTTGCAAATATTACTTTATAAAGGGTTTCCTTATATTCTGGTATTCCCCTAACTGCTTACATGACAATTAAATCTGCATTATCATGGGAATAGATAAAACAAATATAATTGTCTAGAGTCTTTGGTCTTAAAGGGAAGATTAATAAATAAAAACAAGCTGCTGTATTGGATGTAAAAGATCCCTTGAAGCAGACTAATGTATGCTCAGTACTGATGTCTGGATATGAGTAGAATTGGAAATGCACTGGGAGGGATATCCAGTTGGTTCCATTATTGTAAAAAGAGTTCAGCCATTGGCCACCTCACTTTAGGGCTCTCCATACCTCACTGAATCAGGAGAGACTGAGGCAGGGCATGTCACATGAAGAGAGAGAAAAAAATGGAAGCTCTGAGACCCAGATCTAGATTATCAAGCAGGAGTGAGTATCGAGGATATAGTATGCAATTACATTTACACTAAACATCCAGAGATAAAAAAGTGATACCTTGGAACTCTGGAGGTTTGACTTCTCTGTAGCACCCCTGCCCTCTGGAATACCATTCCCCTGAGGTCCACTTAGGAAAGCTTCAAAAACATGGCCTTTTTTAACAGGCCAAAGGCCAGGCTCATTTGTCACGCCACTTGACTGTTGATGGGTAGTTGGAATATTCTTTTTCGTATATTCCAACATGTTGTTTTTGGTGTTTGATTATATGTTGTCAACATGTTTTTAGTCCTAAAGAAATTTTAATCTCATATGACCCTTTAAGAGTTTTTGTTTGTGTTTATGTGGGGGCAGAGAGTGCTTTCTTAAATTAATGTTTTTATTATTATCACCAAAACTTTTTTTTCAAGTTTATTGTTAAACTCACTTATCTTTTTCTGATGAAACTGAATCCTCTAAAATACATTAATTAGGGTTAAACATTTACTAACTAGTTGTGGCCCATTTTATAAGTCGGCATTTCAAATATGCTAGGAAGTATTATTTGGAGGGTTTATTTATTTGTTCATTTATTAGTTTTATATCCCACTTTCCATTCAGGAGCTATATATGAGGTACATATTGCTCCCTCCTTCTGTTTTCCCCTGAACAACCATATTATGGGGATCATACAGAATTTATCTGGATAAGCCAGTGGAACAGGCAGCCATATGCTTTGCTGAATTCTCCTTTTTAAAGTCTTCAATCAGGGGCTGTATAGTCTGCCTGAAATATTTTAATGGATTCTGCAAAGAGCAGGAGGCAGACTAAATGATCTCTATGGAGACTTTCCACTCTATCTTTGTTGTTATCATTAACATTAGGTTTGTTATCTGATAAGAGGAAAGCAAGATGAAACTTTTCTGGACATCCTGGAATATTTTCTAACAAGGGTAAGAAGAGAGATAGACATATTGATAAGACATATATAAAAGATGTTGGGTGGTTTCTATCAATGTTGTATCTCAGGGACAAGTTCTTCTGGAAAAGGGAATTTTGTCTAATCTACAGCTGAGAATAGTTGGAGATAAAACATCATGTCTGGCTCTAAAATGGTTTGCTGCTGAGCAGAGGATATAAAAGTGGTGAAATATTTATTTGGTTGCCACCTAGAGTATTCTAAATACCCATTGATATCATGTGAAATTAAACTACATTAATTCTGTTGTTCAATATCTAATAATCTACTTGGATCATTTGAGAGGCTCATTCTAAGGACAACTGGTCAAGAGGGAGGCTAGTACTAGTAAATACCAGGACCACTAAAATGATTGGTCAAAACTACAGGACTCAATCCTGTCAAGGAAAAAATGGCCCTTGAGCCAATAAGTAAATACGAATTGCCATGTCTTTGCCTCTACTTTCAATGATCTTACCTCCAGCTTTGGTGCTGCATTTGATACACATTTAGATACACAGAAAGCCTATTTCTAGAGGGTTTCTTAGGGAATGGGCCTAGCTGTATACCATAAAACACCATAATGTTTCTTCAAATAACTTCATCGCTGCAGGAATACATTCCTTGCCTTAACATGAGGGAAACTCAATATTGCTACTGAGTTTCTTAGTGCTAATAGGTTTACATAATTATGAGGTTTCCAAGGGCCAATAGCATATGGAACCACCCCCAAATGGTCCACATGCTTTTTAGTCTTTTTAAGTAAAGTCCACTACTTCAGTTTTCTAGTAATTAATTACCAAATGTTGTTCTTTGCACTAGTCAAGAAAGTGATTGAATGAGGCCAACTGAGGTTTGTGAGATAATAGCAATGTCCTCAGCATGAAAAAGAAGTGATATACTAATGCCTGCAATCTGAAGTCAGTGCAAATTAGAATCAGGCAGATGACCTGTTAGGGAATTTAGGTAAAAGTAAATGATGTGAAGCCCAAAGTACAACTTTTTCTGCTCCTTTCTGACAGTTAAGCACACTAGGTGAGTTACTTGTGACACTACTAGTAGGCTTTTTGTACAAACATTGAATGAGAAAAAGTAAATTCCTATGCTAGTGTTTTCCAATTTCCTCCACTAGATTTCCCTTGAAATAGCATCAAATGCCTATTTAAATCTACACAGGCTACAAATAATGGAGTCTTTGCTTTATGTTTATATCTTTCAGTTAAGTGAATATGATCAATGGTAGGGCAACTAGAGTGAAAACCTGCTTGTTCATTACCTAATATAATAGATTCTTTCTTTATCCAGTCCTGCAAGTTCCAATTTAGAGGGCATACATAAAGTTTATTAATTATGCTTAAAGACTAACAGGTCTCTAATTAGCCAGATCTGCTCTGTTCACTTTCTAAAATATGGGGATAATGATGACCTCACACCAGTGTTGTGGATGATATCTTGTTTGATCCATGTATGTGAAAGGAAAGGCCAAAACAAGAATCCACCAGCCAATTTTATTTAATGTGTGATTTATTTTTATAAATAAAACAATATAAGAACTATTGTAAGTCCATTCTGAATCTAATATAATATTCATAAAACATTTTCTAATATTAGTACAACCATAATATAAATCAATAGTGCATAATGACAACTGATTTTATGGCTGAATAAAACCCCTACAAAATAAATGTTTTAAGGGTATTACTGGACATCAAGAGAGTAATATGATTTAGGGGGAAACTGATTCCAGAAAGCAGTAGCTAGATGGAGAAAGCCCTAAAATGTGAGGTGGTCATTCTAACATGAGGAAAAATGAACTAACCTTGATTATATGGTTGAACTGACTTCATGAGACTATGTGTTGAATCAAAGTATTTAAATAATTACGTGTTCCTGTACACAAGGTTCAGAAAGTCAGCACCTTCAAGTGAAACTGATATCTCTCCCAAAGACTGAAACAATGTAACAATTCGGAAAAATAAGAAGTAGGGTGTATTGGAAGAGATTGAGGGCTGTACAAATCACACTTTTCAAGACTTGACTCAACTCGTGGAAAACATCAAGATGATCTGCCAACAGATTATTACAGTGATCCAGAAAGGACATAATGAAGACATGAGCTAGCAGCTTAGATATATATTTGAACAATGAATTCTCCTCATATGCAGAAGGTAGAAAGTTCAGGGGGTTAAAATAAGATTCTCATCAATGTCCCCATTTTTAAAATAATCACAACTGTCCTCTTTAAAATCTAAAAGACATAAACTTTCTTCCTGCCTTCCTTATGGAATTCTTCACCTCCTTATTTCTCAGGCTGTAAATGAGAGGATTTGCAACAGGGGGCAAGACTGTATATAAGAGAGATAAAATTTTGTTGACATCACTAAGTGCTTTAGACTTTGGTAACAAATATACAATCATGATGGCTCCGTAAAACATAGAAACCACTATCAGATGAGATGAGCAAGTGGAAAAGGCCTTTTTCCTTCCAACAGTGGAAGGAATTCTCAAGATAGTAGATATGATATATATATAGGAAGTGAAGGTGAGGAGAAAAGGTGGTAAAGTAAATACAAAGGTAAAGATGAAACTTGTAAGTTCTACTAAGTTGGTGTCACTACAGGAAAGTTTTATAAGTGGAACAGTATCACAAAAATAATGATCAATTTCATTTGGACCACAGAATGTAAGCTGCAGCATTAAACTCAAAAGGATCAAAGCAGCTATAAGGCCAGTTATCCATGAAGAAGCTGCTAGTTGGATACAAATTCGTGCTTTCATACCTGTTGCATAATGCAAAGGTTTGCATATCGCTAAATATCGATCATATGACATTACAGACAGGAGATAGCATTCAGTAGCCACTAGGAAGCCAAAGCAAAAAAATTGCAAAGAGCAGCCACTGAAGGAAATGGTGTTTTCATCAGTCAGTAAGCCCACCATCATCTTGGGTACAATATTTGAGATGTAGCAAGTCTCTAGGCATGACAAGTTCCCCAGGAAGAAGTACATGGGCGTATGAAGATGGTGATCAACTGCAACTAAAATTATAATGAGAATATTTGCAACCATGGCTACAATATAAAGCACTAGGAAAGAAAAGAAAAGGATGGATTTCCATTGTTCAAATTTTCCAAACCCCAAAATGATAAATTCTGTGACATTCATCTGCCCTCTTCGGTCCACTTAGTCCATAACTGAAAGAATGCGTATAGTTGGAACCAGTAGATCTTCTATTGCATCCTTGGGAAAAAAGGGAGAAATAGGATGTTATAAAACAATTACCAATACATTCCATCTGAGAAGGGGACTGGTAATTTTGACTTACTCTGGATGAGTTCCCCAATGGCCTTCTTCCCTGCATAATGGAAGTGGTGTCTTCTCTCCTATATTCTATTAGAAATACTGCATTTAGAAAGCAGTTTCTCCCACCCAGAGCATACCAGTAACAACTCAAAATCGAAAACACTGAAAGAATCCTGTTTGTACAAATGGATGAACTTCCTTATTCTAAACACTATTTTAGCACAATGCTTGGAGTAGAGCTAAAGCTCCATTCATTGCCTGTAGTGGTCCCACATGCAATCTGAACACATTATTATACACTGAGGTTAAAGGAAGGATGATAGGGAACAATTTGATGAAAGAAGAGAGCTTCAGAATGGAATGGAACAACAATGGGGTCACAGGGACGAGGCTTCCTTTTTGCTCCTTGATCATTTCTGCAATATTGATTGTATTTTGGAGGGCAAGTGAATATTGCTTGTTGCAGTGCAGAACACTCCTTAATTTTGATTTACTAGAGCACTAAATATATGACTACTAGGCAAACCATCTTTGTTTTCGACATTATATGAACTTTTTCATCAAGAAACCATTAAAAAAACCCATTCTTTTCACTGAACATTGTCAGAAAAAGTTATGACATACAAAAAAGGCTTACCTCTGTGATATGAGAGCAAGGACATCTTTGTGATTCAGAATGAATGTGGCAGAGTTTCATTATTTATACCCTCACTTTTTAAACGTTCATCTTTCTGGTGATTAGGAGCTTAGGGAATCATAACTTGAGAGAGAGAGAGAACGAGAGAATGAGAGAATGAGAAAATGAGAGAGAGAATGAGAGAGAGAACATTAAATATCCCAGAGGAGAAGTATTAACGTGGTGCCTATTACTTTTTAACTTGCTGTCTTCCTTCCTTCCTTCCTTCCTT